AAACTTCAAGATTTCTTAAAAAGCAGCAATATAATATTTATTCCATTAGAATTTTTTACCTAGTCCGTTTAGTTCCATTTCTCTATGCACAAGGGAAAAAAAACTAAGCTAATGCGCACATGTGATGCGCTGCGTTCCGTGCGGTCCATGCATAAAACAGAACGCACCCAAAATATTGACTCTTACTTCTAGAAATTCTATTTTTGGGTTTGACAACAAATCTTATCTCAGGGATATCTGGGATCAGTATGCTCAAAGAAACCTTACAATCACAAGTCTTCCTAAGTGCAACTATGTTGGCAAAGTCGGAGGCTATAGGCTGTAAAAAAGAAGAAGAAGAAGAAGAAGAAGAAGCAAAATTGGATAGAAGGATAAAATCCCAAAAAGATTTTCGCCAATTGATGCTGTATTGCTTCCAGCAAGGCTTCACAGCTTCGCAGACTATGATTGAGCTGTATTCTGTCTTTGGAAAAGCCTGTGTCACTCTCCACACAATTTGGAGGTGGTATCGAAAATTCAGAACTGGTGATTTTAATGTAGAAGATCTTCCTCGCTCTGGCCGACCTCAGGAATTTGATGTAACACTTCTCAAGGACATCATGCACAAAAATCCTCAAATGACTGTTAAAGAACTCGCCGCCACTCTGCACAAGTCCGCTTCCACAGTGCAAATCTACCTGAAGAAACTGGGTAAATAGTAAATAAAAGATCTGTTTTTTATTTCTGTTCTCCATGAACTTAAGGATACTATGCAACAAGTTGAAGTGAAACAAACGTATATTTATGCAGGAATAAAAAACTGACCTGATGTATTGTGTGCTGAATTTATACAGTAGATTTGAAACGAATTTTCCAAACTACCTAATATATGAAAGAATATTTCTCATCCAGTCTTATATTGAAAATTATCATTATAATAACCTATGTTTTTCTTTAATTTTAATCCTAATATATTTTGATTTTAATATACCTAATTTCTTAGTGCTGCAAGCTGTTCATGTTGAGTTGAATACTTGGGAATCATCGAATGCAGTCCGTGTAATCGAGTTTCTCCATCTCTGAGTAATTCATTATTCCTTCATTTTAGTTTTCTCTTCTGAAGAACATATTGAATTCCATGAAGTGAGAGAGAAGGTCCGAGATGAAAGTGTTGTTCTCGTAAGATTTGTAAGACTTGTGACTGAAATACTTATAACAAGTTTTATGAGAGCAAGTTATGAACCAGACGATTCTGCTTAGAATTGCCTATAAGCTTATCAATTGTCCAATTTTGATTCAAATTATCAGGTTTTCAAGAGTCTTGTCTAGTCTATTCAGTTGACAAATCAAACAGAACGTTACATATTCAATTCTCAAATATATCCAATTAATAAAATGAAATTTATATCATGAAAGAAAATTTATGAATTTTCGGTTTTCAGTGAATTTTCCTGTTTTAAACATCCTACAACTTTATTGCTAAAATACTTTTATTAATTAACTAGCAATGTTTTCCTATACTCGTTCGAAGATATATATTTTATTTAAAAAATATTAAATATTTTTTTATTTTAACATCGTTAAACGTATTAAATGATTTAACAAAGTATTTATAATAAATGTTACATATAAAGTTTAACTATGTTGTTCAATAATATGTATTTTATATTAAATAAAAGTGATTAATTATTTTATACAACTACTTTTAATTGCTTTTAATTTTATTTAAAAAATGACATAAGCAACTTTTTATAAAATTGTGTATTTAATCTAGTATTATGATTATTATCTTCGTCGAGGTTTCTTCTCGGTTGGATTTTGTTTGCAAACAGTGCTGCCACATTAAAAAATCTAAATTATTATCTTAGTAATTTAGACTTTTTAATATGGCAGTCCTTTTTGTTAGCCCTAATTGAAGAGGGGAGGAATCTGTTAAAAGGAATAGGCGGTATAGTTGGGCGCCATTTGCAATTAACCTTACCCGATTAGTCTGGTCGTACATATCTCAGTTCGTTTATGTGCATTTAGATCGTAAAATGTCATGTTGGATACGTGGCTGTCCCACCAAAAGTGGATTAACGAAGAGGAGCCTTTTTACACCTTACTCGGATGAAATGTTCAACAAATGAAAGGATAGTGGAATTGCTAAAAAAGGCATCAATAAATTTACCAAAAAAAGTCGTGTCTGCGAATTACATTTTCAAAAAGATGACGTTATCCGAGTAGATACTTTTAAGATAGAGGGCAATGAAGATTTTTTGGTGCCACGTAAGGTACCGAAGTTAAGAAAAGATGCTATTCCATCAATTTTTCCACCGGTTAGGCATTATCATGTAAACTCCATTGATGAACAGATAAATTACTATCGCATAAACATCATTAATAAGCAGAACCAGAAAAAACAGCAGATTGGAGAAACGAGCGTTGCAGCTCAGATAACGAGTACGTTTAATTGTTTCGTTTTTGTTTGCCTATTTTTTTCTTTTTCTTTTTAGTTTTTGGTTTTCCTATCTATCATGAAGGGTCACAGTACCATGCGATGATAAATTTGCGCATATTCTTCCTGGGGAGAGCAGAGGACACGCTTTCCTGCAGAAATCACGAACAGTATGCCTTCTATATAACGTTAATCTTTTCTATACTAACATTTAACTTGTAGATTCACAAATAGAATGATATTTTTGCTCCTTAAAAGAAAGAAAAATTTCGCGCGAATGGATTGTTAGTCATTGTTAGTCCGCGGACCGAGCATTCGGCGCCTCGTTCAGTTTGTCTGTCTCATACGTACTATCTTACACCACGACACTGCTTTACAAATGACGTGCATTCGCGAAAATCCTGTTCCTTTCAGCGGAACTGAATCCCTCTCAATTAGAAGTAACGAATCATCTTTTCTTGCTTGCGCGTTATCGAGTTCGGAATAGTTCGGATTCCTTCTCTCTTTATACTGAATTCTTTCTTTATTGCGTTGTCTTTGTCATCTAATTCCTTCTCTTCCGTCGCATTTATTTTTTTTTCTCGAATCGATCTCGAAGATTTATTCGAAAAAATGAAAATATTGAATTTATATGAAATTATACAAGTAATTTTATCCAAAAAAGTATAGATTCGCATATTTTTTGTTATATCTGAAAAGTTAATTAAGATATGAAAACTAATAAGAGAGAAATTTTTTTTCTCGGTCAAGCTGGATCTTAAGTGTCAATCATTTTAATTGTATACCGAATTGATTTTTCGGCCTTGAAACGCAAACCCGATTGAACTGCAGTAGTAACATCACAAATTAAATTGCCTAAGCAATTTGATAATTTGATGCTTATAGACATCTTATAAAAATCTTAATGCTGAATGACATTAAAATTTGTAAATAATCTTATCGCAAAAAATATTTCGGCCGGGATTGATCATCGAAAAATCGTTCTCCGTAACGCCTCGGGAAAAAAATATTTTATACATAATTATGTAAAATTATATAAAAATATATATAATTTTATATAATTGTATGTATATGGACATATTTTATATATAATTGTATGTAATTATATATAAAATATTTTTTCCCGGGGCCTGTTTTATGAAGAGGTAAAATCTATTTTTAGGATCTTGACTCTCCAGTATTTCTTCGGTGTCTTTTGAAACAAATTATCAATAACCGTTTAAATATCATAAACTTTCATCGTATAATGTTTGTTTGACGATATTATGCTTTAAGGTATTTATACTCCGATTATGCAAGTCAATAACAGACTCAAACATATCTCTAAATTTCAAATAAATATATCGTTATGTAAAATCTAAATTAAAAAAAACAAAGTATTTTATATATTTATGATATTAAGTCATAAATAAATTTAAGAAAAAAAAAGGAAACCTCCGTATCACGTAGTAAGAAGAGTTATAGATTGTGGCAACGTCGTATTTTTGGAGCAGATGAATGTAGACACACAAGAGGTTATCTGGCAAAACATTTATACGAAAGAAAAATGTCCACACAGCTGCGTTATAAAGGAAGATACATCAAAAGTAAAGTTTTAGCAAAAAAAGAAAAGTGTAAAGCGATTCTCATGAAGATACGACAAGAAAGGCATAATCTTTCTCTTGATGAGAAACGAGATATATCGAATCCATGTGAAGGTAACTGCATTGTGAACTTGAAAATGCTCGGAAAGTGCGACGTTGCCATACTTAGATTTCCTCAGAGCTATGTTCAGATTCTCGTCAAATGCCACCCAAATATCATTCCATCCTTATTGTTTACTGAACGTTAAACAAGGATGACATTAGATCTGTTTTTTATTGCTGCACTCTGAATCTGTGCAATAAGTTGAAGTAAAACAAATATACGTTTGTTTTACTTTATTTTTTTTTATTGTACTATGTGTACCAGTAAAAGTGCAGCAATAAAAACACAGACCTATTGCATCTGGGGAGCATCCGAAATCCGATCATTTCTTAGAATATCGATCATATAACTTTTTTCTTGGGGCGAAAACGTGAAAAGTGAAAATTTCAGTGAATCAAAATTTTTTATTGACTCAAACTTTAATATTGTGCGATAAATATTTGCGATGTTGTTACACGTGCTTTCTTACGAATTTAACTACCCCAGACTCGTTTTTCATTAACTTCTTGAATGTGATTTCGAGGCTATATCAAAGTTCGTGTTGCATCACAGCAAAAATGAGTATACGTTAACATGAGTATGGTTGCGTTCAGTAAAAAAAGTAGCTTTGCAATTGTTTTAAAATTCTGTAATATGATTGGTTTTGCCCTTCTCAGTAAAAAATTTTGTTGTAAAAAATAATTTTACAAAAAAAAAAGAGATGTGTGAACATGTATAGACATATTTCGTACATGATTATACATGTTTATAAATATTTATGCATATTTATACATATTCATGCATGAACAATTTTTTACCGGGTTAGTTGATTCTTACTGAATCTAAATGTATAAAATCAATGTATAAAACCAATCATATTTATTTTTAAATTTTCAATTTTATTCTACGGTGTTCTTTGTACACTGATTACTCCCGTTATGAAAAAACCCGCTGAACAGTTATGGGCCTTCTACTCTAACAAGCCATTAGAGTTAAGCCATTATAAATCAAGAGTCAGAAGCTAAAAATTGACCAATCACAGTCGTCAATTTTTAGGTTCTGGCTTCTAATTTATGACTAATGGCTTATTATAGAAGCGTCATTAACTTCAGCAGCGTTAAACTTATCACTTTGTTTTATGTATTCACACATCATAAACATATTAATTTTCAGCAGATTTGTTGAATCAGCCTTCACAAGATATGGCTTGAAAATATTTAGCATTCTTAGAGCTGATTGTATCGACATTACTTTGACTTTAAGCGAACTTGAAACTTTTATTTTCTCTCTTTAAAGCGAGAGAGAAAATATGAAAAGAGTTTTAAGATTTAAAATCAAAGTAACGGTGGTACAATCAGATCTTATGCGCTTCGAAAATTTCGTTAAAAAATACTGCGGGACTGTCAATGCGTCAATAACAAGTAAAAATGAAAGACTTGCGCGAAGACGAAACAATCCTGTGACGTCATATAAACAAATCTACTAATAGTGTAACGTTTTCTTCTGTTTGAATTTTCAAAAAATTTTTAACTTTATTAATAAATAAATATAAATAAATATAAATTAAACTATTTCATTGTAATGGACAGTTCATAACGCTTATATTTTTATAAATCAATCGAATTTAACAATTTTGAAATTTACTTGAAGACTGAATTTCTCTCTTTTTATTAAGTTCAATTTATACTCTCTCTCTCTCTCTCTACAAACCATTTCTCAAATTTAATTTTTTTTCGAGAGACTAGCTAAAGATGCATTAAAAAAGCTTAAAGTATCGGTACTGCATGACTCTCTGAATTAATTTCCTTATTTTCTTTTTTATTCCCAACGATATTAATTATTTTTGTATTTTAATTTTTAGCTTTTTTAATTTCAATCTTTCCTAATTCGTTTATTCTCTTAACTTCCTTGCGATATATAAGGATATACAGGATGAGTAAAAAATCCCGGAGCGCTGAAATATCTCGAAAACAAAGCATTTTCGGGAAAAATGAGTCAGACAAAAGTTGTAGAGTTTAAAAAGATCTATTGTACTTACTGATCATATCTTTTTGT